GTGAGATTTCCCTTCCTACACCCTCTGCTCAGCTCAGCTTGGCTCCTCCAGGCCCTACACAAATCATCCTCTTCCCAGGCCCCAAGTCTTGACACCCCAAGCCCCCCCATGCCAGGAATGCATCCTCTACCTCCTCTCCATCTATCTAGACCCTGTTCAGATGCACCCCGCCCCATTCCCACTAAAACCTTCGCTCCCCCTCAGCCCCCTCTCCCCATCCTCTGACCAGTTACCCTAGTTACTCTCCTTCATTCATTCACCTCATCAACAAAGATTTATTGAGTCTCTACTGCTGTACCAAACAGGAGGGTGGGAGACTGGGAAAATACAGACATCGATGAGATAATCCCTACCTTCAGAGGCTGCACAGTAGAGGGATCAGTATCTTGTATGGTACCTTACAATTCAAAAAGTGCTTTTAAAAACCATTATGATTAATCCACATATCCTCACGACCATCCTAAGTAGGAGCAGGATTATTCCCATTTTACTGATGAAGAAATGGATTCTCAGAGCTGTCATTCAGTGACCTGCCCAATGTCATCCAGGTAGGAGTAACAGAGCTGGGACAGAGTCGAGTTCTCTTGGCTGCAAATCTGGGGCCACCCCAACCATCGCAGCAGAGAGGAGCAGCATGGGAAGGGCTCAGCCTCATGGATGCACACCCTTATTTTACAGATGGGGCCCCAAAAGGGCCACAAGGAAAGTACTTATATTTATTGAGCACCTACTATACTAGACACTTTGTGTGTGATTCAATGACCACGCCAACGTGGTGAGGTCTGTGTCTTCATCCCCATTCTCTGGATGAGGAGGTAAGTGTCTCACCCACAGCCACACAGCTCCTCAGCGGCAGGACTGGGGGTCGAGCTGGTCTGTCTTCAGAGCTCTGCCTAACTGCCCCATCACTCTTCCCTGAAACTGCAGACAGACAGTCCCGTCACACTACTGGACTTCCAAAAAGGTTACAGGCACTTTGAAGATAGACCACATCCTCTGGCTTTCGAATCCTCCACCATTCTAGGTGGAGAAGCTGCTCCATAAATACCTGGTCTCCTGGGAGCACTAGAAAAGAGTCTGGTATCTGACACCAGAGGCAAAGATGCTGGGGGCTGGAGAGGCCAGAAAAGGAGATTCAAGGCTGGGAACTGGTGAGGAAGGATAGCAAAGCTGCCAGCACCCTGGGGCTGTGGCAGGGTCTCATCTCCGCCCCTCTTGTCCCCTGGGACTCCTTGACCATTTGGAGATCCTCTGGTCTCCATTACTATTGATCTGTTGAGGCTGCCAGGAGGAGGGAGCAGGTGTTCTGAGAAGGGCGGGGGGGCTCTCAAAATGCCTTCCAAGCCCAAGGGGGCACCATGTTTATAGGCAAGTTAGTGACCCTTTTGATTAGCCACCTGATCATCTTCAGTTGGCCCTCCTTTGCTCTATTTGGGAGCCCTGGGGACTCAACTTGGAGATCGGGTGTCCCAGCTCTGGGTGAGTAGAGTTGTATTGATTAGCCACAGAGAGGAGAGTTGCCCCTTATGGTCAGGTGCACAGAGGATTCCAAGCTCTGGCAGGCACCAAAAAAGAGAAAACCATCCTGCCCCGCTGTTTGCCCATCTCAGAAGGGCACACAATGGATGGCTGGGGTCCACAACACAGTGGTAACACCAGGACGCTGGAGTCAGCCCCCAGGCTCTGCTTCCTCACCTGTTTACTGTTTACTTGGAGCAGGAGGATCCTTAGTCTTGCTAAGCACTATCTGTAAAATAAGGGCGATAATAGTAATAACAACATGTACCCCTTGGGTGAGTAATTTAAGCAAAGCACTTAGCACATATCCTAGCATATTGGAGGCATTCAAAACAGACATCATTTCTGCTATTATCAAGCTAATGGACCCCACAAGCAAAACTCAGCCTGAACCCCAAAATGCCCACCCCAGTCTCTTCAGGAATAGGAGCATCTCAGAGGCTGGCATTGAGGATCCCCACCACCCCCCAAAACACATCTGTACCAGGCTCAGCTGAGAGCTTCAGACAAGTGAGAAGATGAAACTTTGGGAACTGTCTCCCTAAATCCAGGTCTAGGCTTGGTAAATATTCTTGTTTTCACTTACTGTGTCTGCTGGAGTCCACCTGGTATGGGGCAGGCTGGTTGCATTGGAATCTGAGAGAGTCTTTGAGACCCAAGTCACCTGTGCTAATGGCCCTCCCCAGGGACCCAGCCCCCACCACAAGGGCAGCAGCTGTCCTAAAATAGAGTCACAAAGACAGCTATCTGAGTCTAAAGTAATCTTTGCAAGCATTTCCAGACCCTTGGCTCCTGGGCCAGCCAATCTCCTGGCCCGTCAGCTCCACAGCAGCAGACATATCATCCTCTCTCTTGGCAAGGACCTGCTCCTGCCATTTTCTACTTGGAAAGAACTCGCAGAGCTTCTCATCGCAGCCTGGGCTGACTTGGTTAGCGTCAGAGGGCAAGGCTCACTTCAGGAGCTCAGGGCCCCAAGACAGACAGACAGGTGAGGATGACGTGGGCAGGGGCAATAAGGGGAGGGTCATCCTGGAAGAGGGTGGAGGTGCCTGTCTTTGCACAGCAGCATTCAAAGTTATTATCCAAGAAATATCATTAGCAAAATCAGATGTCTTCCCATCAGGAACAAAGAAGACTGTCTCCCAACTTGGGCAAGCCCTTTGGAGGGGAAGCAGAAGGAAGGGAGGGGAGTGCAGGTGGGACTTGGGCAGGCATTCCAGCCCTGGAGGCTGGGCAGCAGAACCTCCCCCACTCCTTGTCCTTTTCCAGGCCATCTCACTGGGGCCCAGGCCCCCAGGCCTCACTCCACCCAGGAAAACAAGAAGCTATACTCCAGGCTTGACAGTTATGGCCATTTAAAACTCAGAGGCCGGCCTGGCCGTGCCAGCTGTTGCAGCATCTGGACCACTCACTGGCCTTGCCTGTGCAAGCTGGACAGCAGGCAGACCAGAGGGGGGTGAGATGACAGTGACAGTCTGACGGAGCCGACTGGTGCTGCAGATGGCTGGTCCCTCTGCCTCCAGGCCCCAGACTCCCTGGGCATACCCCACCTGACAGGAGCTGGGCAGGAGAGGTGCATCACTGGGCAGGAGAGGTGCATCACTGACCCGGGTGAGCACCTAGAATATCAGAGCTGTCAGGGACCTTGGCCATCTTTAACCCCTTCAGGTTGCCAGTCAGGCTCAGAGAGGGCAGGGCACTTAGCCAAACACACACAGCCAATCAGTAGCAGAGCTCAGAGTACCCATCAGACATTCAGACCCCTAATCTAGTGAGATTTTTATGACATCACACTGCTGGTTGATTAAAAATGGGCTTGGATCTATACATACTGATGTGCAGAGGTATCTAAGATCAATTACATAGTTAGAAAATATTCTGCAAATCATGATGTATTGTGTGATCCCATTTTCGTAAAATAGTACTAATAACCCATGTAAGTGCATACGTGAAAACAAGAAACCTGGAGACGTGTATTCAAATGTGTTAAGGGTGGTGGTTAAGGAACTTTCACTATCTATTTCTAAATGTTCTCTAATGTTTGGATACTTTAACAAAAAGCCCGTGTTACTTTGGGACGAGGGAAACAATAGAGACAAAGGTGGTGCGGGCTGGGCAGCAGAGGCGCCCCTCCGTCCCACGTACCCCACACAGCAACTGGGGGTTCTGATTTGGATCCCTTCCTCTAGCGGGGGATTTCTGGAGGAAACAAGGAGTCGGGCTCCACGGGTCTCCAGGATTTGAGGAGTAAGAGCCGTTTCTCCCTCCCTCCCCCTCATCCCAGCCCTCCAGCCCCTCCAGCGCTGGGGGATCCGGCAGGGCAGGCCGGCCAGACAGCGCCCCGCGGGCTGCCCGTGCATCACCGAAGACGGGCGGGCGCTCGCTCGCTCCCTGGTCTGCAATGACAGCAAATGAGGTAAAGCCAGGAGGGTGGGGACGGAAGGGGGCGGGCGGGGGGCAGAAGGAAGCCATC